TTTGTATCAAAAAGCAGCAGAAAATGGTGATGAAAAAGCAATGTGTAATTTAGCCATGTGTTATGAAAATGGAAAAGGAACAGAAAAGAATTTAGAAAAAGCCTTTCATTGGTATCAAAAAGCAGCAGAAAATGGTTGTGATGAAGCAATGAATAGTTTAGCCAATAGTTATGATGATGGAAAAGGAACAGAAAAGAATTTAGAAAAAGCCTTTTATTGGTATCAAAAAGCAGCAGAAAATGGTAATAAAGTAGCAATGTTTAATTTAGCCATATGTTATGAAAATGGAGAAGGAACAGAAAAGAATTTAGAAAGAGCATTTCATTGGTATCAAAAAACAGCAGAAAATGGGGATGAAACGGCAATGTTTAATTTAGTAAAATGTTATAGTAATGGAGATGGGACAAGGAAGAATTTAGAAAAAGCTTTTTATTGGTATCAAAAATTAGCAGAAAATGATAAAGTAAATCCTAAAAATGAAGTTGAGTCATGTAATGAATGCATGCAGTGGTGCCAACAATGTAATGCTAGACGATTTCAACAAGATTTTTCAAAGTGGACTAGCAAAAATGAATTTATTAATGAATTTATTCAAGAAGCACAATTAAATGCTAAAAATAGTTATGAAATTTTAGAATGGATACCTTATAATAAATTGTCAAGTATTGATTATTATGATAAAGGAGGATTTAGTGAAATCCATAAAGCTATCTGGTTAGATGGACCTATTTATAGTTGGAATTTTAAAAAACAACAATGGAATAGACAAATAGATTATGAGGTTGTTCTCAAAATACTTAATAATTCATCAAGTTTAAATAGTAAATTTCTGGATGAGGTATAGTATTATTTTAATAGCAAATTTTATTTTCTTTTGCAAAAAACCTAATATTTTTTTTACATCTATATAGTGGAAATATCATTATAATTGTCAGAAAAATTCATTTTCAAAATTTATTCAATTCTTTGGAATTACTCAAGATCCAAATAATTTAAATTATATAATTGTAATGAGTTATGCGAAAAAAGGAAGTTTGAGAAAATGTTTATCTGATATAGTTAAATTTAAGTGGCAAGATAAGCTACAATTATTGAAAACAATTATTTTAGGGCTTAAAGTAATTCATGAATCAAATTTAACTCATGGTGATTTTCATGATGGTAATATTTTAATGTCAGATAATTACAATGAGTTGTTTATTATTGATTTAGGATTATGTAAACCTATAAGTGATTCTGGTAATAAGGCTAATGAAATTTATGGAGTTTTACCTTATATGGCTCCTGAAATATTAAGAAACGAACCCTATACTCCAGCAAGTGATATCTATAGTTTTTCAATGATAATGTGGGAATTTACATCAGATATTCCTCCATTTAATAATGAAGTACATGATCTTGAACTTGTCTTGGATATTTGTAATCAAGAAAAACGTCCTGAAATTATAAAAAATACTCCAAAATGTTATAAAGATTTAATGAAAAAATGTTGGGATTCAAATTCCTCCAATAGACCAACCATAAGAATGCTTGAAAATATTGTATCTGAATGGATTAGATGTATTAATAAATATTATGAAATAAACAGGGACGAAAATTATAAATATCAAATGCCTATTAATGATAATCAATTAAAAGATGATATGCTTGAATTTGTAGAAGAAAACAAAACTTTAGTACAAGAACAAGCAAACACTTCTATTATGCAATCTCATCCACAAGCATATTATACAAGTCGCAAATTCACTAAATTTACTGAAATTTATCTCAAGAAAAGTCTGAATTCATAATTCAGGAAATCATTCAAGAAAAATCTGAATGTTTTGAATGCATTGTTGAAGATTAATGATCTTGTTATTTATTGAATTATTTAGTATCAGTTATTATATAGAAAAATATTTATATTATGTAATTTACAATTTTTGCAATAAAATAAATATTATTAAATACAATTATTATTGAATAATGTTCATTTATAAAATATTTTTATTTCAATATTTTTTATAAATTATAATGATTATGGTACACTTCACCTAAGTCTATACTTGCCACCCAAATAAATAGGCCATCATTCCATTCCATCCAAAATCCCACTTCCATTCCAATCCCAAATCCCCAATCCCATCCAAAATACCAAATTTCCCATTTAATATATAAAAATATTTATGAACCACATGTTTTTTTTTTATTTGACATATCCGTGAAAGTTATTGTAAAAAAAAAATGACTTCAATATATAAATATGCAAATTGTTGATCTCTCTTTTATATAAATTTTTTAATATATATATATATATATTCAGCTTTTTCTTAAATAAAATGTATAAACAAATGATGTTTTTTATTTATAATGAGTAAATTAAGAATAGAGAAATGGCAGATTTCAGTTAAAATAGTAAGAATTGCTAAACACATGATGTACAATATATAGAGTAAATGGCTGATTGTTTTAACTCAGTTTTTATTTTTTGATTGATTTGAATTGGCTGTTTCTAAAATTATTAAAAAGACCTGAATTACCTGCTAATGCATTGATGAGAGATGCTATTAAATTAACAAAAGTAAGGCATTTGTAATGTAATTAAATTAAATAAATTACAACTAATTTTCACTTAGGGTGAAATCGCCTTGGTGATATCACCTATTAATTTTTATGATAATAAAGTTATTTAATGTAGGTGATATCACCCGATTATTTTTTTGTTTATTAGTTATCATATTTGTTTATCAGATAACGAATAACCTTTTTTTAACGTTCTTTAACGTCCTTCAACATTTTTTGACAACCTTCAACATTTTTAATGTCTTTTAATGTCTTTTAATTCTCTTTAACACTTTTTCTTTCTTCTTAGACTTTTGAAGGTAAGCTTTTTTTTTATACATATAGGCCAATTTTTGGAATTAACAAATTAGAATATTTTACAAAATTTTACAAGTTACTATAACTCGAAATATAAAATTACATTTCATAAATTAAATCATATTGTATTACAAGGTCGTGTGATATGAATTTAATTTATCTATAGTGATAAAATATTTTTTCTTTTGCAAACTCTCTGTTAGTCTCCCCATCAGTTTCCCCATCAGTTTTTTAAGTTAGATAAGCTGAATAGTTTTGAAAGTATATATAGTAATTTTTCTAATTTATATACAAGCAGTAGCTCTCTTTTTTATTATTTGAAAGTTTTTTAACATTCTGTGGGGAAAAAAATATATTATTCAATAGAAATATTTAAGAAATCATAATTAATAGTTTTAAGTGTAATTTATTAAATTGTAACAGATTAAATTATGAATTAATAAATTATTTAGTTAAATTTATTTGTATTTATTTTTAAATAATTTATTATTTTTTGATTTTTTTTTTGTTAAATATTATGAATTTTCTTTTTTTTTAATAAACTAACTATAATATTTTTCCATCATTTTTTAGGATGTATCTATTATTTTCAGGTTGAAAAAGCAAATATTATAATAGAAATTTTGAAAGAATTATTATTTTTAATATGATATTTGATCTTTTTTATTTGGGAACTTAACTGGAGCGTCGCACTCAGCTGATTAAATATCAAATCCTTAATTCCGCCGATCAGCGGATATGAATATTTGTTTACTTTTTTATTTGCTATTGTTCCTTAGTTACCCATTTTCTTTTTGTAGATTTCAACTTCAGTATCCTAGTAAATGTAGTAAATGGTAAGTTTCAAGTTTTCAGAATTTCAGAAGTCTAGTTTCTTTACATTAACTAACCAGTTTCATTTTTCATTTGGGTTTCTTCTATTTTGGCTGGGGTTTTCCTTGGACTTCTTCTTTGGATTTCTTTTTGGGTTTCATTGTATTTCTTTTGGAATTTTTTCTCAGGTCTTTTCATTGGATTTCTTCTTGGGTTTTATTGGGTTTCTTTTGGGTTTCTTCTTAAGTCTTTTCTTCAGATTTTTTTTGTTTTTCTTCAGATTTCTTTTCATGTTTCTTCTTCAGGGTTTTTTGATTTTTTCTTTGAGTTTTTTTTTTGGGTTTCTTCTTGGGTTTCTTTTCCTTTGGTTGGGATTTTTTATTTTCTTATACTTTTACTTTGTGATTTCATTTTTACTTATGTTTGATTTGGTTTTATTACGATTTTGGTTATTCATTTATCTTCTCGTTTATTTTATCTTTAGTTTAGATGTAGCGTGATTATAGATTTTTCTATTCACAATAAATGTGTTCGTAAAAATTTATTTTTATATGAAAATTTTATACATATCTTATTATGGGTGAAATCACCTGATTTTAATAAATTTATATATGGTGAAATCACCTGGGTGATGTCACCCGGAGAGCAAATTAGCAAGATTCAATTGAATAATAGTAATAGTATAATTAAAATAAATTTTGTTTGAACATTTATTTAATAAAGTTAAATGATTTTAAAATTTTATATATTTTATAAATTTTTATAAATTTTAATTAAATCAATTTCTATATCTGTTTTATATTCTGTTTTATAATCTGTTTTGCAAATTTTTTTTTTGCAAACAAAAGTTGTTTTAATATATATGTGTGGATTTACTATTTAAAACATTGAATAATATTTTATCGTTTCTCAAATTTCAATTCTAAAATTCGATTTTCGATTTTAAATTTTGATTAATCATTTTTAATCGATTGTGCATCATTAAATTAGTGACAGGAAATTTCCAATGACCACAAATTTAACATACAAATATTTGATTATTAATTAAATTTTATGATTTTGCATTTAAAATAAAACGTTTATTGCACGAATAATCAGTGATCGGCTGTAACTCTGGCTAAGCCTATAATTCTGACCAGAATTAAAACTTTAATAATTTTTTTTTTTTTTTTTTTAAAACAGTAACGCGCTTTATTAGTTAAAATAGATTTAAATTCTGGTAACCAATACAAAAGCACCTAGAGCAAAGAAAGTACAAAGACTTTCTAAACCCTATAACTGAGTATTTATCTGACTATAACTATTAATATAAAATCTAAAGTAGTACATTGTGTTCGATTCTGTAAATATATTGTTTTCAAATACGCTACTGTACTAATGTTTTACGATGTTTTTTTGGTTTTTGCTATTTTATATGTTTTGAGGCTTTACTATTTTAAAATCAATCAAATTAATTGTGAAGAAAATTCTAATAAAAACTAAATGAATTAAACTATATTAAAAGCGATAAAAATAAAGCAAAATAAAATTCTGTCTCAAAAATTAAGAAAGAAAAACTATACTATCGTGGAAAATATCAACGTTTTCACTTAAACAAGCTCTCTGTTGTTAAGTAGTAACTCGATCAAATTCCAGTATCGCTCTTCTAAAAATAAATTTCAAGATTGTTGAAATTTTGGGGATAATTTGTTCATTCTCCCAATAAAAAGTTTTCGCATCAATTTGTACCAAATTCATATCCATAAGTTATGCACTATATAGTGAGCCCGTTTGGCACAAAATTTGTACTGTATTTATTTTAAACTTATCCAAGTTGTAGTCCAGCTTCAAGCTATTTTTGTACATAGATTTATACCATTTTTATATCTAACCTTGTGCCGTATATGAGCCACTTTTTTATATGTAATTATTAATACTGTATTGTAAAATTAATGTCACGTTTTCGTAATTGTAATATTAATTTATTAACATGTATAAATAATATATAAAATACACATTATAAATATATTATACATTATAAATATATATCAGTTATCTAGTGTTAATTTTTTTTTATTATTTTTTATATTATTTTAAAGTTGCGCTAACTGTATTACTTAACTTTTTTTCTTTCCTCTTGTTATAATTGGATAGCCACGGATTTTTAAGCGATCAACGTACTAAATTTCCGTTGACATAGCGCCCCTGGTGACACAACTATAACAAGGTGGGAACCCGATTTGAACACATGTTTCTGATGTAATAAATCTTTAGATGCGTCTGCAGGTAAAGAATTGTAGTTATTATTTTATTTCAGTAATAGACTCACTTCCTTAATAGATGTATCCACTATATTACCTCATTTCTTTCCTCTCTACTTTCTTTCTGCTATTCCCCCATATATATTTTTTAGTAGTAGTTCAACGAAATATGCTTCCAATCTTACCAATGACAGAAGCTTTCTCTCTTCTCTCTTTCCTTGCAATCAAGTTTCTTCTTTTCTTTTACTTTTTTCGTGCAGCTACTTTGTTTCTCCTTCACTATTCTTCATTCTTTTTTTCATCATTTAGACGTCAATAATATTAAAGAAAAACGAAAAAAAATCCCAAAATCTTGTGAAATGAAATCAGAAGAGGCTATCTAAGAAAAAAATACGAAGTGTGAGTACCTGTTCCGTTGTTAAATTGTACAAATTAAAAGGAAAAAATACTTATCAAGAATCAACATGCCTAAGGAGGTCCAGGGGCCCGAAGAACTGGCTGCCTAAAAAGAAATATCCAACTTTTTCATGCGTCTAGACCCGTCTAAATAAAGCAAACCAAAATGTTTAAAGTAAGAATTCCATGTACTAAACCAAATAATCCGTCTAAGAAGATAAACAAGAAGTGTAATAAATGTTTGATCAAAATAATAATTTAGAAAAAAAATAGAAAATTCACAACGAACTAAAGTAGAAGATATGAAATAATCCGAAATTTTACACAAACTTATTTTCAACCAAAATCTCACGTGTCCAGTGTCCGATTTGATATAGATTAATTTGGTCTTGATCTTTGAACGATAGTACTCGTCTTTAGTCTAACAGGTTGGTTTTGCGGCCTAAATCAATTCTTACGATACTCAATAATATTCCTAAGCTTAGAAAAGTTACCTCATAGTCAATATCCTAAAAAAAGAAATAAAAAGTAGCAAAATATTCCATAAAAAGGTCATTTAAAAAACCTTTTCCACCAAATCTCATCTCATGCGTCCAAAGATCTGAAAAGTTTCCTAAAAAAATGAAAAAAAAATATTTTGTTTTATTTACCGAAATTTATGTTCAAAGTGATCCTTAAGTCGTCTAAAATGAATTATTATTTCATTAAAAGAATTAAATTCGAAAAAATATAGTCCGATTTCCTCTTCCATGCGTTCAGGCCCATCTAAAAAAATTTAAAAAAAAAGATAAATTCAAAATGTTAACATATGGTTCGTTAGAATAAATAAACTAATAGAGGAAAAAAAAAACCTACTGAGAACGAAATCCCACGTGTCAAAATAGACCCGAAAAACCATCTAAAAAAGAAAAAATAGTAATATTTCGTTAAAATAAATTTAAGAAAAATTTTTTTGAAAACTTGCGAAATATCATGGAGCCACCTAAAAAAAAAAAAAAAAACTTTATAATGTTTCATTATAGAATTTGATTTTTTTTTTTGTGAGTACTTTTCAACAAACGAAATATAAAAGAAGAGAAATAGGAATAATGGAAAGGAAAAAGGGAGTTAAAAAAAAATATTTTTTTTTAAGAAAAAGCGAATGAAAGGGGAGTTAAAAAAAGCTAATGAAAGTTTATTTTTAAAAAGAAAAAAAGCGAGCGAAAGGGGGTTGAAAAAGTTAAAAAAAAGTTTATTAGAAAAAGAGAATGAAAGGAGAGTTGAAAAAGTTAAAAAAAAAGTTTATTTTAGTTTATATTAAAGATCGAACTGGTAGTATATCACGCGATATATAAATAGGGAAATTTTATTTTGATGTTATTAATTATATTAAGGTACATATGTACGTTGCACTGTTGCAGTATATAGCTTGAGATTAATATAGATTAATAATAGATGATAGTTACAGAAAAAAGAAATATGTAACTACTGCGAAATTAGTACGAATTTAGTATATAATTAAAAAAGACCAAAACTGGTACAAATTTAGTATATGGTTCAAAAAAATCCAAAAATGTGTAATTAATACGAATATAGATATGAAACTAGTACAAAACTAAGCAACTAGTACAAATTTAGCATATTACAAGTATAAAACTAAGTGATTAACACAAATTTAGTACATGATTAAAAATACATAATTAGTATAAAACCAAGCGAATAGTACAAGTTTAGTACGTTATTAAAAAATAATTTTTTTGAATTTTATTAAGTGGCTCAAATTTAGTATATAAAATTAACAATATACACATATTCCAAACGAATACAATATAAATTACAAACGATGACTATTTACTGGGTCTGTATCAGAATTTTTCCTTTCTCCCTGCTTTCGCACTACACGCTTTTTGTTTTCATTTTTCTTTTCTTCGTCGTCATCATCCGATTGCTCTGTTACTTTCTTTTTCCCTTTTCTTCGTGTCGTGGCTGTTGTTGTCATCGTTAAATCTTCTAATCTTTCTTTAAAACTGTTGTTCAAATTATCTAACTCTTCGTGTTCTTCTGAAGATCTTGGAATCGTCGAGATTAGATCAGTAGGAGCGTCAACAAATCCGTCCTTTGGTTTTTGTGGGATGTTGAATGATTTTGGCAGAATCGATTCCAAATCCCTACAATAATTATATTCTTTATTATTATTTAATAATTAATTGATTGATTAATTATTCATACAGTATGTCCATTTTTAGTATTCTCATTTCAAATAAGTTTTTGGCTTCATTTAAAAAGCGTTTTCTCCACAAAATTTGTCAATACATTTAAAATTTTTATTAATCATCGCCAATTTTAATAATTCATTGACTCGATACAAAATCAATGTATGAATTAGCCATAAGAAATCATTCGCATAACTAATTAATTATATAATTTTTATAATTCATAATGTACTTAGTAGCAATTCTTCAATATTATTAAATTAAAAGAAAAAAAAAATGTCAGAAAATGACGAAACCTTTTTTTGATTTTTAATCAATTTATCAAAAATGTAAGTTATACGCATAGAAGCATTGTTATATATAGGCGCGCTGGACGAAACAGTAAGATTAATTGAACTCGAATTTTAGGTTTTAGTTTAGTTATAATTTCAGTTTTTCGTATCGTTAATATAAAGAATTAAAGATCGCAATGTAGTTCTATAAATTCATATAATGAAGTTTAAAATAGTGTTATAATAACTCGCACACAATTACAGAATGAATTCACATTTTTGTGGTTTATTTAATAGAGATTTTTCCAATTAAACAAAAAATATGAAAACACTTATGTATTGTATTTACATAAAGTGAAATCAAAAATTTAGAGTTTCGTGACAATTTTTTTTTCTAGACAATTAAATTAGCATATTATTAACAGCCAAAAAAAGGTAAAATAATAATAATTATTCGGATTTGAAATGTTCCATGTTCTTTTACAGAAAATTCGATTTCAGCTTTTCTAATTGGTTTTCATACCTTGAAACATTCGTTATCGTGATCTTAAAGTTGGTAAAACAAGCAATGATTTTATTTTTAAAGTAAAAAAACTCCATATAATTTGAAATATTTTCAATTTAAAAAAATATGAATTGAAGTCCATTTTTAGGATTTTATTTGTTAATAACAAAATATATAATTTACATATAAGGTGTAGTACAGTACGTATCAGATAGTAAAATATATTGAAAATATAAAAATAAATATAATTAAATAACTCATAATAAGTGGAGTTGAGTTAAAAATATTATAAAATAAATGAAAAGTTTAATTTTTACTTTTTACTTAGTCATCATCATTATTAATATCATCTGCTATATAAATAATTAGGAAACGGAAACCGTTATGGGTACGGAGCGATAAAATTTTTACCATATTTTATTACGTATATCGCCACGTGATCCAATATGTGTATAGTCCTCCGGACAATAAATTTTACTACATAGTTGACGTCAACAGTAAATTTTTTTTTTAACATTTATTTTTATAAGGAAAAACATTTTAAAATCATATGCATTCTTATTTATTTATTTATAATTTAATTTATACATGATAAATATATAATAATAATAATATGTTTCATATAGTAACAATCAAAAATTTTTATCCGTTAATTTACTTTTACTTCTCAAGTACGAAGATAAAATTTAAGAATTATTTATTATCATTAGGTGCACCATTTCTTCTAGTGTAGGGCATAGCATGAGCTCGAGTCCTATTCTTAGTATTAGGCTTTTTTAAAATAAATAATTAATATTATAAAAAATACAACAAAAAAAAATGCTTTTATGATATATACTTACTTTCTTTTTTGCAAGTTGTTTATTATGTTTATCAATTCTTTTATGAATATCGCTTACTCTTTTATCTACAGTCTTGCAAGCAAGATCCTTTAAGGCCCTGTCAAGATAAGCTTTATTTTTAGGATTGTTGATTTCTTGGCTGTCACTCATTTTTCTTTAAAAAAAAAAAAAAAAAGTAAAAAAGGATTTGGAGAAAAAATTTTAATGATGAAAAAAAAATTATTTAATAATTANTCACTCATTTTTCTTTAAAAAAAAAAAAAAAAAGTAAAAAAGGATTTGGAGAAAAAATTTTAATGATGAAAAAAAAATTATTTAATAATTAAATTCTTTTTTAATTACCGAAATTAATTTTTTTTTTATTTTGTTGTTACAATAGTAACTAGTAAGGAAGTTTATGACTGTTTATATAGGACAAAAAAAGTTGATTACTCAGCAAAAAAAATATCGTATCATAAATTTCATGTGTACAACCAAAATTTTGTTCGTTGGAATAAATAAAGAATTGAAAAGATTCAATGATAGCTTAATGAGCTGGAAGTATAATATAATGGTCAAAATAAATTATTTCATGACGTAATCAATAATAATAATTTACAAACCGTAAAAAATGATTGCTTTTCAAATATATTTTAATAATAAAATATTTTATAGAGAACCATAAATTCATTTCATTCAAGACGAAAGTTAATAGAGTTAACCAATCATATTACGATAAGAATGTAATATACTGAAATGATCGTTTTAATGACGGATAATTTTGTCACTACAATAGCAAATTAATTTTAAAGAATATAATTCATTTGGTAATTCAAATGATAATCTATCCTATCTATTGACCAGAATCAACTGCCAATTTTGGACATAAAATTCGATTCAAATAATAATAATTATACTAAATTCCCAGTTCTTTTTTTCGAAAGTATGCAAATATAAATTACACAAATTATATTGTCCTACCACGAAAGTTAATATTAGTAATCGTACAATTTTGATGTTGGCTTACATTCCTTATCTGCCAAATAAGGATAATGGCGTACAGTAATTTATACATTCGAGAATTCTACGTAATATTCGTACTATCTCATAATAAATGAATTGCTGCGCATAAAAACTACTTGTATCCGAGCTCTTATTTGATTAAAAAAAAAATAATAAACGTGTAGTGTATTGGCGTTGGTATATCAAACGGGTGTATCACTTCTATGTTTACAATAATTTCCGCATACTTTTTGCCTACAACTTTATCTAAAGAAATGTATAGCCGCGTTTTTTTAGTCGTCTTACACATGAATTTTAAACGTTTTAAAAAGATTATTTAAAAAAAAAAAAAGAAAGAAAAAATACTAAAATAAAGATACATTAAAAGAATTCCCTATTTGATAGTATTTGTACCTTCCATTTAAAATTTTGAAGTTTTTAGTATTGATTAATCTAAAATCATACTTTACAGAATTAATTAAAAAAAATTAATTATTGGTTTCATTTGACAATTCGATTTTTTGTTTTGACAAGTGATCTAATCCACGTATGCGATCATTTTCGTAGTACAAAATTATAACCTTTAATGTTAAATTGTAAGATATATTATACATTTTTTTTCTCTTGTTGTATTGCACAAGGTCGATCTTTATCAAATTTTTTATTTTTAAGCAAATTTTTGATGACGGTCGTTGCTAAATATACACCAACCCAACAACCAGCAACCCGGTGAGATCTTCGCAAAAAATTTCCATGTTTCCTGTACATTGCTATTAAATCAATTCTATGTGTGATAGTATCACCCAATGTCACTTCAATAGAACCGATCAAAAAAACCTTAACCGATTAATGCCAACTACCGTAACCAAATAATAATAATCGACCAATTAAATATAATTTATGAATTTCCAGAAGTTTCAGAGATTATTATGGCTAGAGGTTCGAGGGTCTTCGATTAATTATTCAACACCGCAAATCGTACCAATTTGTTTTTACTCATATATTTAGTTGTAGGGGAGTCATATTAGATGTGTCGCATATTTTATTTTCTACACTAATAGCACACACAAACAACCATAATATTTTTTAATCTTTATTAGTGCTAGATTTTTATCTTATAACATATAAAATATGGCAAGGAAATTGAAATAAAATACTTTCATTTTGCGTTTTCATTATTTACACCATATCACTTTCCATCGTAGTGGGTTAGAATCGTACTGTAATTTGCTCTCGTAAACATTTGCGAAAAATAATAATGTTAACAAGTTGAATGGTTTTTGATGTTGCATCGTTACTTATGCCCTTTGATAAGAAGCATTTTACAAAGTAACTGGCTAAGCCGCTAAGGTATTTTATGGCCATGCTACAATACCTCTTTTATTGATAGTACTATACCCATTTTCCTACTTGTGATCATGTGATATTTAAAGTTTATTAGTCCTTATATACTGTATATAAAATTAAGTTTGATACAAGTATGTTGATTCTTGTTTATCTTGATAATCCTAGGTTTTACAGCTTGGACTTCGAAATTATTTTCTTTTAATTGATTTTAAAGAAATATTTATAACGTTTCATTTCTTGTTCTTTTCTAGGAATACCACAAGTTGAACTTTAAAGGTAATTAGTATAATTTTGTACCACATTGTAAATTTATCTTTAGTTATACAGTTTAATATATGACTTACGTTCTGTGCCTGGAGTAACGATAACGATTATTCACTAACTTACATTACGCACTTAGCAAATCTACGTTATTCACTTACTACCTACCGGAATTAAACTATAAAAATTATGTTCATTAGGAAAGAATATTTCTGAAATCAGTTTTAACAGCTTACTTCATTGATAACATATATAATTTACGGCTTTATAATAATATGAAAAATAGTATATGTCAGATGGTAGAAGTTATCAAGAATACAAATATGAATTAGAACTTAATTTCCTTTCCTTTATAACCCTATTTTTATTTTTTTAGGTAAAATCCACAAAGATTTGTACCAAAAACATATTATTTCAAATAATTCCTTGGCTGTTGGTCTTTGAGTTTGAATTAGTATTGTTGCATTTATAAATTACAAGCTAGTTTTTTATAAATTTCAGGAGTTCTTTTTCCAAATTCTGGTTACATATTTCTAATGTTAAGCTTAAATTTCATGAAAAGGTGGTGCCACTATGGCACTATGTTGATCATGTCATTAATTTTATAATGATCAGTCGTTTCTCACAAAGGAAAAACTTTATCAGGAAAAACTTTCTTTTCATACCAGTAACTTTTAAAACGGCAATAGCGTATCTTTATTTATACATTATTTTTCATAGAGTATTATATCAACAAGTGATATGAGTAACTTTTATTGGGTTATTGATACATCGGTAACAAAATCCACCGTATGCTTTGGGCGTGAGTTTGCATAAAATATACATAACACAAATTTCCATATCGGATACATTTTTAATTTCTTAAATTTTGAGGACAACCCGGTCAAATAATAATAATGGACAAATGAGTGATAAGGAATAAGAAAGAATAATAAAGAACAAAAAGAGTAATAAGAAACGATATAGTATGAAATGGTAATGGAAAAAGAACAATAGGAGACAAAATAGCAATGAAAAGAACAGTATATATGGGATGAAATGATAATGAAAAAGCAATATAGAACGAAATGGTTATTGAAAAAAATGATAGGAGACGAAATGGAACGGTATCAGTTAAATTCACCTTTTTTTTACATAACTTACCTAATTTCTAATAAGTTTGGCTCCACATTACTAAGTTATTTGAATAAATAAATAATTGTTCGGTTTTCTTAATAATGAGAAATTTTTTCCATAGAAAAATCTTTGAAATAAAATGAAATAAATATATAATAAAGAATAAAAACTAAAATGATAAATAAAGAAAAATCAAAACAAAAAAAATATAAAAGTGATTAAACGCACTTTTAGTTAACGCACCTGATGGTCCTAGAAAGATACATAAAAAGGGTGCATATTGTTGTATAATTTGATCGTATAAGAAAATAGCACGTGATCGTTACATTTGCGTCTGGTGACAATAAATTAATAAGTTGTCGCACAAAAAAAAATAATTAAATAAGTCGGTACGGAGGAGACAAAATCGTACTAATCAGTTATAGACCATCAGTTAAGTAATCTTTTTGCTTTTCATATTACCTTTAAATACTTTGCATATACAATATCTTACGGCGCGTATGACCTTTGCTTGTAAGATAACTAACTTGCATTGTCCATATGGCCGATGTTTGGGGGAGAGGTTGACATAGACGCCAACTAGGAGGATTATTACCTGTACCTGCTTAGTGCCCTAGTGTGTCGATCTTTTTCCAGTATATTGGATTTTTATAAGTATCCTACGGCGCATATGGCCTTTGCTTGTAAGATAACTTGAACCGTCCAGATGGCCGATGTTTGGGGAGAGGTTGTCATACGAATGAGACCCTCGGAACCCACTATAAACCTAGGAATCTTAGTGTCCAATGTTCAAGATACATACATAACGGAGCAGTGTTAGCAAAGTGTGCTGAAGTCGATAGTTTACCATATTTGGCGTCTGAAGTAGAGTTGGCCTAGGTTGTAAATCACTTGCTTTTTCCTTTGTGCGTAATAGGATCAGGTTGTACAGGCGGAGGATGGGGACGCTGGACCCGTGAATTTTGAATTAAGTTGTGGCCTAGATCAATGTTGAGACGTCCAGTATTGGATTGGAGAGTAATTTTGTTTTTGAGAAACGTGTACCATCGAGGTAGCATAGCGGACATCCCTATTTTATCACAATACTGACTGATCATTTGTCGATCATTTGCCGATCATTTTTCAATTATCACATAATATAAATACCGTTGCTAAAAAAATTTACATAATAATTAATATGTTCAAATTTCACAAATAACTTAAATTTAGTTTTAATTTATTGTGTATTAAATTTCATTAGATTTTATTAGTATTTGGCATATATTTATTCATTTTACGAAATTATTCACTAATTATGTTACTAATAAAAAACCTGCATTATGAATCAGATCACTGCATTGTTTTTTTTATAGATTCTACATAATATAAAGAATATTTGTGCAAATTCTTAAGTTTCGCACTCACATATTCATCTTCGCACTTCAATTTTTGTCTGATGATCGGCAATAATTAGTGAATTACCATATACAAATAATATTTTTATGATATTATTAAAAATTGTCTAATAATTACATAATTAAAGTCATATGATAATTTAGTGTTTTTACTTAGATTTCCATTATTTTTTTGCCACAAAATTTGAAAAATATTTGTGATTTTGCAATAAGTTTTTAAAATCCGGAATTAGTGATCATCAGCAAATGATCGGCAAGGTGATATGAGCATGTCCGCTATGCTCATCGAGGTATTCTTCCTTGTTTGTTATAAGACTTTTTTTGATATCTTGATAATCTAGCAGATAGGCTGAATCAATGTAAATAATTTGGTCGAGAAACATAATTCCCTTTTAAGACTATTAATTTGTGAAAAAAGAAATTTAGGATCTATAATAAAATGAGAAATTGGAAAAATTCCACCTTCAATTTTAAATTGAAAATTAGTAGAAAGTGAAAGATTATAATATCTGAAAAAAACAAATAAATTTTCTAATCTAGTAAATGATTTTAACTGTGAGTCAAATAAAGAAAAAAATTCAAAAGGATTATTCGGTAACCAGAAACGTTGTTGTGATAAAAGAATTAAAAAGTTGACTATATTAGAAGTATGTTGTGAGTTGCTTTGAGCAACGAATAATGCGGCTTGCACTGATTTATAACCAGTGACATTCATGAAAAAAAAAAAAACTTCCGGGTTAACTGTTCGTTCTAACTTGCATGAACTTTACACTTTGTATGAATTACGGACTTACGGCATATACAAATTTTCGAATAATCAGTAAGAGATCAATATAAGAAAAAATTCAATCTATTTCTATACCACAGAAAGTTTACCTATACATAATTTTATTTATTAATATTTATTTCACATTATTGTAAATGTACTTTATGAAGATAAAGTCGTAATTTTTCTTTTTTAGTATACAAATCCAATAATAATCCATAGTTATACCCTTATACCATTATAGGTGTTGAATTTTTCCAAGTTGATTAAGTTGATTTAGGAAAATAATGGATTTAATTTTTTTTAATCAACCAATTAGTAAAAATTAATATCAGTATATATTCTTATCAAATATTGTATATGCAATGAATTATTCTTTAGAAAATAATTGTTTCGTGATAAAACATACGATCACATGGCGCTGATTTATTTACGAAGTGATGTTAATATTATTTGAGCTTAAAGAATTATATGTTCATTTATCAATACGTACGTATATATATACCTATATTTTTATTAAAATTGTATTATACAGTACCATGAGATAAAATTCATAATTCTTTAGCAAAAATTCCAAACTTTTGGTTTCAAGAAATCTTATGAAAGAATTAACTTAAGATTGAGTTGACCATCGTTTAAAATGCTAGCAGCGTCTTATACACGGTGATTACTTAATGGAAATTCGGATCTTAAAAGAATTAAATAAAATATAATAATTATCTCTAAGTTGGAGAAAGTGAACCAACCTATTTCTTTGGAATCAGCCAAGAAACCTTAACCGGTATACAGATTTTCTACCGAATAATTAAGTTGCTCAATTCGATTTACAGTACGCTATTAAGCACATTTTTTTATATCATAACGCCGGCTAAAGGCAACATAGTGCTGGTCAAAATACATAATGTGGGCCAGGATCGCAATAACAGGAAAGATACAACAATGAACGAATTTAAACGCTTAACTCGTACAGACTTGACCAACATTTTTATAGGGTAAATATCTTGATTTGTATATTTATTGAGAAAAGGAATTGATATTTATCCGGGTAATACCCGAATATTACTTGAGTCATATCTGATAAAAAGGTAGTCGGATAATACTTTTTTTTATTTGGGTATAATCTGGATCCAGAAATTCTGATGGGTCGCAGCTATACACCTTAGTTATAGATTCGGTTAAACCTAATTTCATCTAATTATTAGTCATGAATTTCTATGTTACTATACTCTTATTTGATATTTTAATAAATACATCAAAGAAATTTTATATAAAATTACGTATTAATTTTGTATAATTTATCTATCAATTTAAATAACTTAATTCTCAAACTACATATTTTTTTTTTGCCTGTACAAAGCACATTCGCTTCCAAATTGTCTGAATCGGCATCATCTTAATTTTTATTATGGTAAACATTTACAAAAGATACTTATAATGAGAATTTTGCTAAATTTTTTATTCTTTAATTAAATTTAATTCAAGCTAATATATACTGTTGAAAGTTAACATATTGGCTTCCGGACTATAGTTTCTTAAGTAAACATCGTATAAAGAATCTTGTCAATCAATAATGCTTAAAAATAACATTAATATATATATGGATCTTTTTTTTAAACTTATTATATAATTCAAAGCATATTAATATAGTTTTATTTATTACCTTTAATTAGCAATAGAAGAATAAAAATCTAGATAATAATTTTATAATATGGTGAGAGTTTAACAAATTCTTTCTTTTTGGTGAGAGTATTGATAAAGTCCCAGACTAGGTTAAATTATATATTTTAAATTGTATACCATATTCTATAAATTACAGTATCAATTTTTTGCATTCCGTCTTGATAAAGTATTGTTATAATGCTTTCATAACCAAATCTTTAATAAAGAGGCATTTGTAATTAAATAATTAAGTGTATAATAATTTTGATATACGAAATATAACCGCATAATAAGAAAATTTTGTCATTTTGAAAGAAAATGTTAGCAATAAATACACTATTGAATCTATTATTTATAGTAATAATTCGCCAATAATAGGTCTAAAAAAAATTGATAATTACTAGTATATTTATATTTATTATAAATTTATTTCTTAATTTTAATTATCATAAATTCAACAGTTAATAATATTTTCAAATCTTATACTTTATTTGTTCAATTACAAACTAATTTTTTATTTATGTAAAAAAAAATTACATATACTCTATAATTAGTGTTGAACAAAATACAATGATATCAATAAAAAAAAAAAATAATAAAATTTGTGTTAATAGTTAATATTGGGCTTAAATTTGTTGTATAAGGAGTTTAGTATCAAATTATAGTTAGAACATGAGTTTTCACAATTGTGTTACACCTTTTATATTTTATATTCATCACTTTTTTTAGATGAATTTTTATAAAATGTATTTTATATTTGGTGCAGATGCATGTTCTAATTGACTTATTTTTCATTTTTGTTCGGTAACCCACCTATAAAATGATTTATGATTTAATAAATTTCAATAAAAAATAAACAATAATTTAAGAAAATGTTACATACTCTGTAAAATCAATAATTTCTGCCGAAATACTGTAAGTATCATCATGTTTTGGAAGTTCTTTTGTAAATTGATTGAGTAATCGAGAAGTATAACAAGCTTGTGGATGAACTGATTGACTATTTCCAGTAGATAAAAAATTTGTTATTCTATATTCTTCTGCTTCTTTAATTTGCTTTCTAATTTCTTCATCTTTACCAAAATGAAGGAAATCATTGATTTCAATAGCACTTGGTCTCTTTTCTGGATCTGCATCCCAACAACTTTTCATTAAATCAATATAAAATTTTGGTGCTTCTTGTTCATTTATTTCAGGTCTAATTCCACTACATATATTTAATGCTAACACACTATCATGAGCATAATTGAAAAAAGGTTGTCTTCCAGTTGCAATATAATACATAATCATACCAAAACTATATACATCTGCTGCTTGATTATATGGCTTTCCTTTTAATACTTCAGGAGCTACAAATGGCATAACTCCATAAATTTTTGTTTTGTCTATATTACTAACTTCTCCACATAATCCCATATCTGAAATATATATATCACTTGTATTATTTCCAGATTCATAATAACCAATATTATTAATTGATATCAATATATTTCCTGTATGGAAATCACGGTGGACTACTTTATTTTCATGAATTTTTTGAAGACCTTCACCAATTTTATTTAGTACATCCAATTTTTCAAACCAATCGTAATTCTTAATGACATAATTATTGTAATTATTAAGATTTCCACCATTTGCATATTCAAGTACAATAATATAGTTATTTGTATCTGGATTTTGGGATATCCCATATATTTTGAGAATTCTATTATTAATAGTATCAATAGAATATGCATTAACCTATCAAAAAGTAAAAACAATTATTATTCAGAAGTATTTAATGAAGTCTAAAAAATAAATTTCATACCTCATTTAAAAATTCATTTGTAATATTTTGTGAATTATGTAAGTATTTTAAAGCAACTTCTTTATTAGGTGTTCTTTTATATATATATTTATTTTCATAATATTTATATTTTAATGGACCATCTTTCCATATTGCTAAATAGACTGTAGCAAATCCACCTTTACCTATTTCTTTAATGTTATTAAGCTGGTTATAAGGTATCCATTCAACAATTATATTCCAAGTTCTTTCAATTTTCGATTGCATTTCTTGAATAAAATTGTCAATTTTTTCATTTCCACTAGTCCAATTTACAAAATTTTGTTTTAAACTATTTATTTGACATGGTTTACACCATTTATAAATTATCTCTGTATATATTTCACCACATTCTTTGCAATCACTATTATCATGTACTATAATATAATCATTTGTATCTGGATTTTGGGAAATTCCATATATTTTAGGAATATTATATTCATCTACTTTAATGGAATATGCTTTAACCTGTTAAATATAAAGTTGTTATAATAAAGTACTTTTAAGGATTAAATTACAAAAATTAGAAGTTACATACCTCATTTAGCAAGTCACTAATAATATTTTGAGAATTATTCAAGCATTTTAAAGTGACTTTGTCAGGTTTTCTTTCATATTTTATTTCTTCATTATTAAATTTCAATGAACCATTCTTCCATATTGCTGTAGCAAAGCCATCTTTGCCTATTTTTTTAACATTATTGAATTGGCTATAAGGTATCCATTCAACAATTATATCCCACGTTCTTTCAATTTTCAATTGCATTTCTTGAATGAAATCATCAATTTTTTCATTTCCACTAGTCCAGTTTGTAAAATTTTGTTTTAAATTATTTATTTGACATGGTTTACACCATTTACAATCTATCTCTGTATATATTTCACCACATTCTTTACAATAACTATTATTAAGTACTATAATATAATTTTTTGTATCTGGATTTTGGGATATTCCATATACTATAGGATTTAAATTAGTAGAATATGCTTTATTAGCCTGTTAAATATAAAAGTTGTTACAATAAAGTACTTTTAAGGATTAAATTACAATAATTGGAAGTTTCATATATACCTCATTTAACAAGTCACTAATAACATTTTGAGAATCATTTAAGCATTTTAAAGTGACTTCATTATATTTTATTTCTTCATAATTAAATTCCTTCTTCCATATTGCCGCAGCAAAGCCATCTTTGCCTATTTTTTTAACATTATTAAATTGGTTATAAGGTATCCATTCAACAATTATGTCATAACATTCTTCAATTTTCAATTGCATTTCTTGAATGAAATCATCAATTTTTTCATTTCCACTAGTCCAGTTTGTAAAACTTTGTTTTAAATTATTTATTTGACATGGTTTACACCATTTATAATCTTTATTTGTATATATTTCACCACATTCTTTGCAATAACTATTTTCAAGTACTATAATATAATTTTTTGTATCTGGATTTTGGGATATTCCATATACTATAGGATTTAAATTAGTAGAATATGCTTTATTAGCCTGTTAAATATAAAAGTTGTTACAATAAAGTACTTTTAAGGATTAAATTACAATAATTGGAAGTTTCATATATACCTCATTTAACAAGTCACTAATAACATTTTGAGAATCATTTAAGCATTTTAAAGTGACTTCATTATATTTTATTTCTTCATAATTAAATTCCTTCTTCCATATTGCCGCAGCAAAGCCATCTTTGCCTATTTTTTTAACATTATTAAATTGGTTATAAGGTATCCATTCAACAATTATGTCATAACATTCTTCAATTTTCAATTGCATTTCTTGAATGAAATCATCAATTTTTTCATTTCCACTAGTCCAGTTTGTAAAACTTTGTTTTAAATTATTTATTTGACATGGTTTACACCATTTATAATCTTTATTTGTATATATTTCACCACATTCTTTGCAATAACTATTTTCAAATACTATAATATAATTTTTTGTATCTGGATTTTGGGATATTCCATATAAACTATCATTACTTTCAATGAAATATTGGTATACTTTAACCTGTTAAAATAAAAAGTTGTTATGATAAAAGTACTTTTAAGGATTAATTACAAAAATTAGAAGTTTCATACCTCATTTAGCAAGTCACTAATAACAATTTGAGAATTATTTAAGCATTTTAAAGAAACTTCTATATTAGATATTCTTTTATGTTTCCTTTCGTTTTCATCATATTTTAATAAACCATTCTTCCATATTGCTGTAGCGAAGCCCTCTTTCCCTATTTTATATTTAACATTATTGAATTGGTTGTAAGGTATCCATTCAACAATTATATCATGACATCTTTCAATTTTCAATTGCATTTCTTGAATGAAATCATCAATTTTTTCATTTCCACTAGTCCAGTTTGTAAAATTTTGTTTTAAATTATTTATTTGACATGGTTTACACCATTTACAATCTATCTCTGTATATATTTCACCACATTCTTTACAATAACTATTATTAAGTACTATAATATAATTTTTTGTATCTGGATTTTGGGATATTCCATATACTATAGGATTTAAATTAGTAGAATATGCTTTATTAGCCTGTTAAATATAAAAGTTGTTACAATAAAGTACTTTTAAGGATTAAATTACAATAATTGGAAGTTTCATATATACCTCATTTAACAAGTCACTAATAACATTTTGAGAATCATTTAAGCATTTTAAAGTGACTTCATTATATTTTATTTCTTCATAATTAAATTCCTTCTTCCATATTGCCGCAGCAAAGCCATCTTTGCCTATTTTTTTAACATTATTAAATTGGTTATAAGGTATCCATTCAACAATTATGTCATAACATCTTTCAATTTTCAATTGCATTTCTTGAATGAAATCATCAATTTTTTCATTTCCACTAGTCCAGTTTGTAAAATTTTGTTTTAAATTATTTATTTGACATGGTTTACACCATTTTTCCCATACTATTGCATATATTTCACCACATTCTTTGCAATAGTTATTTTCAAATACTATAATATAATTTTTTGTATCCGGATGTTGGGATATTCCATATATTTTAGGAATATGACCATTACTTATAATAGAATATTGATATGCTTTAACCTGTTAATATAAAAAGTTGTTATAACAAAAGTATTTTAAGGATTAAATTACAAAAAAATAGAAGTTTCATACCTCATTTGAAAATTCATTAGTAACATTTTGTGAATTGTTCAAGCATTTTAAAGAAACTTCTATATTAAATATTCTTTTATATTTCCTTTCTTTTTCATCATATTTTAATAAACCATCCTTCCATATTGCTGTAGCAAGACCATCTTCATTTGTTTTTTTAACATTATTGAATTGGTTGTAAGGTATCCATTCAACAATTATATCATAATATCTTTTAATTTTTTTTAATTGCATTATTTGAATAAAATTATCAATCTTTTCATTTCCACTAGTCCAGTTCGTGAAATTTTTTTTTAAGTTATTTATTACACATTGTCTACACCATTTATGATCAAGATTTGCATATATTTTATCACAACTTTCACATATAATGTCATTTTGAGATGACATGATTTAGGATTTTTTTTTTAAAAAAAAACAATAATCGGTGTTAATTAAAGAGAAGGTGTCAAAACAATTACACAAATATGCGATGATTGTTACAAAATTTAAATTGAATCTTTAAGTGCATAACACTGTTACTCAATAAATTTGTCATACAGTACAATGCAGATCAAAATAAAATCACTTGAATAATCGGAATGTCGCCAACATTAACGTTAATTTTGGCCAAAATGATCGACATTCCGATCATCAAGTGAGTCAAATCTGCCTACTATAGCTGGCGTTAATGAACTTTAATTTATAAAGTGCGTCAAATAATTACACAAATTTCCGATGACACAAATCAAATTGCAATTTCTTTAAATGTAACACACTAAATAATAAATGTTAAGTTACAATTCTATTGACAGAAAAAATAATAATATTCCTACTTCAATAAAGATGATATATTAAGATATTCTTCGTCAAAACTAACTTTCTCTTATAAATTTTTTTCGGTATAAACTTAATATTTATACTTTTCCATACTATATTGTATACCATCTAGAACAGGCTGTACTGAAGCTCGCAAATTGATAATTGAAAATTTTATTTTAAGTTTAACAGATAACTTTAAAAAAGAGTAAAGAATTACTGTAAGCGAATTTGTAGAAATAATGATATATTTTCATGAAAGTTACCAATCAAAATTTGCGATCATTACAAAGAATAAATTTATTACGACCGGAAACTTTAGTAAGAATAAAATAATTTGGTGAAACTTTCATTTATCATACAAAATAAATAATCATATAAAAAGTAGACATATAATAATTTGCGAATATAATAAAGGCTTAACACTACTTATTGCTCATTTCTTAATTTCCTCCTTTTATCCAATTATTGTACAATGAGTGTACTAATATTGATGATACGTTTTAGTCTCATTTATTTTTTTTCCTGTTATTATTTATTTATTTTAATAACATAAAAAGGTTACGACTTTGTAAATTTTTTCTGATATTACGTACGCTAACTACACTATGTACTTGTACTGTATAGAAAACTTTATGGGCACGTGATCAATGTATTCTGATCGTATAAGCCTTGATAATCCAAGAGAAATTATTATATAATTTGCCAATAATTAAGTAGTAAGTGAAATTATTATTATTTTTTTATCTTGATGAATTATTTTTAATAAACTAATTAAATAAGTATATGAATTTTATGAATTATATCACTTTTAATATAATCAATAGTCTTTTGTATTTTGATATGATATGGATATTTGTACGGTATTATATTTATATTGGAAACGTCATGAAGTAACGTTAACCAATCATACAGCATCTATATTATCGTACGGCTATCAATGCAGATCATGCTTAACATTAGAGTTATCGTTATCGTATTTATTAATAGACTTTTCTTTCTTTTAATAATAACGATAACAATAATTTATTGATTTTATATATAATGATATTTCTAATTATTTATCACTAATTATTAACATTATCTTAAACGTAATGTGAATGTGCTATTATGGAGTAAAAAGAAAGAAAAAAAAATTATTATTAAATAAATCTTGAATCGGGGTCAAACTGAATGTTGATTATATAAATTTTTAAACAAGTTTTTATATATTGAGATTTTATTTAATAATCGATCCATACAAAAAGATAGTTAAAATTGAACAAATAGAGGCTTATAAAATTTGAAAATATATATATACTGTATATGATTATAATATAAATTTGGATTAAATTTTGTGATAAACGTAAAAAATGCATGTTACTTATTTGGCATGATATAATAATACATGATCCTGTCTTTTAATAAGGCGGAATTATACAAACGTAAATAATTTTACTTAATTAGTTATTTAAATAGTTTCACCAAAACAACTGAAATTAAATTGCTGTGGTAAAAACATAAATAAGTAACGTAAAGCTTTACGAAAAGTAAAAGAAAATTCTTATAATCTCAAATTTATTTTTCCTTTTTTTAAATAAAAAAGAAAGATAACAAAGCTATTTTATTAAAAAAAAGTAAAAGTTTACCAAATTTGTTTGTATCAAACATTTTTCTTCGATGAGGTGCTTCGTTTATTCGTATAGATTGTATAAATTGTTCAAAATAAAATAAAGATGACGTGTTGCATACGCCTTCAAAATTAATTATTAATTAATTTGATTTGAAAAATTTAAAATGAACAAAATATTTTTGTAATGGCGAAAAAAAAAGAATTAATTCATTTTCTGGAAAAAGTTTCATGAAATACGCCTTCGATGATCACATTATTATACTGCATTTTTACGTAATTCTTTCAGGCACCTATGGGGAACATATGGAATCTCTTTTCCATCGACTGTTAAAACAAATGGTTCAGTTGATGTTTGGTCAAGATCATACAGCCTTATTCCAATTTTTTTTATTTAATCTACTAGAAATTTCCAAAAAAAAAAAAATAAAAAATAAAGAAAATTTAATTATTCCCTTGTATACTTTTAATTATATGATATCAATATTTAATTAAATCATCTCAAATGCGACATTTTCAAAGCTTTGAAAATGAAATCGGTAAACCAATTTGGTTGAAATTATAAAAGAAAAAAATAGTCTAAATTTCTTTGATGTAATAAATATTTACAATAAAACAAATTTCTTTAGTGAATTATTTATAGTATATTACTATGTATAGTAGGTATAACAGATTCCTAAACTAAATCTGACTGTATTCAGGGTCTTTTTATATTTACCACTGGCAATAATTTTAAAACCTTCGGAATAAATACCCAACATAAATAACTATATTATTTTTCTCATATGATTATTTGCAACCTGCAATAAGCTTAATTTATATAATAAGTAGTATGTAAATAATTACATTGTACATATACTCTTATACTGGCTATACATTCGTAGTAACCTTTTTTTTCACTCTTTCTATTTATCAAGTTTATATGTTACGTTCAACTCTTACAGTAAATATACTTTTTTTACACATAATTCTTCTCTTATTGTATCATTTTCACTATCTACCTCGAATATTAATTTTTGATATTTACAAACGTATTATATACAGCACGTAAATTCCAATTATTTCTTTTATTTCATTTACGTCTCTAGTTTCTCCTGTAACATATTTGTCTATTACGCTATTACGTCAATTTTATGATTCTAATACGTCGTTTCATTTTTTTTCAAGAACGTGTTTTCTAAAGTTTCGTATGGTCTTATGTATTTGGCTTCATTAAAATTTCTTTTCTGTACTCTATTTTCCTACTATCTTTTTCATTTTGTATATATATATCCAACATTCATTCTTATCTTTCTTTAATTTTATATTCTTATTACAACCTTTATATAAGACTAAATTTGGAGAATCATTATTTAAAGGAATTAAATGTACCAATATTTAACACTTTTATATTTCTTTTAAATTTTGTATACATATGCTGACTTTCCATGTAATCAGAAAGTTTTTACCGATCTTTTCTTCTTCATAAATATTAAAATTACATCTATTATTCCAATTTTTATTAATATTAATGTTAAAAAATTAAAATCATCGTTAATTGTAACCAATCCATTATACCACTTCGGTTTTTACATTTAGTTCTTTACATATATGTTTCCATTTCATTAATTTTGTTTATAACGCATCTAGACATTGTTCTAAGAATAGAATTCCTTTTTTCTTAAAGAGTCTAGACCATTTTTTTTACTCTTTTGTTGAAGAAAATATCTTCCATTTTAATATTTCCCCCAAAAATAATTCCAATTATCATTTTTAACTTCATGATAATAAATCGTAAGGACTAATTTTTTTAACGCGTCCTCAATGTAAAAATTTTTCCCAAATTTATGAATTTCTGAGAAAATTACCTAGACAGTTTGGTTACGGTAAAATTATTATTGATTTATTTATTATGTTAAATAGTATCTAATTTATCAACTGTGATCATTTTAACCATAAAAAAATAATTTATTTATTTAAAATTTAATCTAACCAAATAAATAATAATAATGTTAAACTTACACGTTGAATAAAATAAATGAATAATCTAATACATAAATAGAAAAATGATTTTCCTAAAAAGTTTTAATTGACGTATTAAACTAGAGTATAAATTCGTATAGTTATTTTGGTCACAAGAAAATTATAGCTGTCAAGTCTATGGTTGCAACACGAAAATTACTTAACAATGTACAATAATTTATTGCCAGTCCTCCAGGAAAATATTTTTCTCGAAATTACGTATAATGTTGGCCTAAGTTGCGTCATGTAACTATATGTTTATTAAATATTTGATGTTAAAATCCGAATTAACTAAATAAACAATATTAATAATAAATAAAAACAAAAGTTTTACCAAAAAATATATATATGATCACTTAATAATCAACCTTCTTTATTATTAATATCATCTGTTGTTTTTAAAATTACTAGATTATATAGTGTATTGTACAGAAATTTATATCATCATCACATTACTTACCTTTTAATTGTAATGAGCTAGAAATCTCCAAGTCAAATAATTGAGAATCTTGACAATCTATAAAAGAAATTTAATTAGTAATTATGTAATTAAATATTTGATTAAAAAAATTTTATACCTTTATTGTTTTCTTCATCATTAAGATAATCAGTAATAATAGAAGAATTAACAGGTTTTGTTAAATTACTAAATGTAAATAATCTGCTACTATATATAGCATCAGGATTTTTCTCGTATAAAGTTGAAATATTTGGTATTTCTTTATTAGCCTCTTCAAACATAGCCTTAATTTCTTTTCCTTTATATCCAAACTTTTCTTTTTCTTGATCTACATTATTACATGTATATGAAGAATAGCTCAAAAATTGTATTATATCACATAATTCTCCAGCTGTTGGCCTTTGATTTGAATTAGCATTCATACATTTATAAGCTAGTTTCTTATAAATTTCAGGAGTTCCTTTTCCAAATTCTGGTCTGAGTCCATTACATATTTCTAATGCTAAGGTAGTATCATGTTTTCTTTTATGAAATGGTGGTTTTCCAGATGATAATTCAGCCATAATTACACCAAAACTATAAATATCTGAAGATAATGTATATGGTTCTCCATTCAAAACTTCTGGGGCAATATATGGTAATACTCCACATACTATTTTATCATCCGATTTTTGTTTATTTGATGGTCCAGATAATCCAAAATCTGAAATATAAGAATAATTGGACATACTACCATCAATTTGTAATATATTTCCACTGTGAAAATCTTTATGAAAATATCCTAATTCATGTAAACTTTTAAGATTATGTGCTATCGAAATTAAATAAATTAATTTCTCTTTCCACAAAATATTATTGAAATTGTGTAAAAGAACACTTCTCAAATTTCCTTTATCTGCATATTGTGAAATTATTATAAGTTCTTCAGTTTCTGGATCTTTGGTCATTCCATAAAACATTAGATAACTAATGTCTATCTGACATAAATCCCAAAGTATTTTAATCTATTATTTGTATTTAAATTAATGAAAAAAATTTTCAATTATTATTAAAGAGGTTAATTAAAATATGTAAAATTAATAAAAAACTTACCTCATTTAAATATTCAGCTGACATATTCTCTGATCCATTTAACCTTTTCAATGCAACTTTGATAGGTTCAGATTTACGTTTTTCCCAACAATTAAAATTTTTATATTTCATTTTTGGACCATCAATCCACGTTGCAGAATATACTTTGGAAAATCCACCTTCACCAATTTGGTTTATATCTTTAAATTTATCAAATGGCACCCATTCAAGAAATTTACGTTTCTTATTCCTCGCACCATAAATTGTATCTTTGATAAATTTATCAATTTCATTATTTCCACTAGACCATCCTTCAATATTCATAAATGGATCACATTCTTTACACCATAATTTTTTGGTAAATGATTTATTGCAATAATAACAATTTTTATGATCAATATTTGCTGAATTAGAATTATCAGAATTTTTATTGGAGATGTTTAATTTATTAAATAGGGACTTGAGTTTCGTTAGTTTAAACATTATTCATATATTTCTAGTAGAAATAAATTAGACGTTATTGGCGTTATCTGTTATTTGCGTTACTTTACTATATATTATATTTTTCAATAAGGATAAAAAAGGAAATGAGATTCCAAATTAGAATCTAAATTTCGTATCACAGTAATACAGTAATAGGTTGATCAGAAATACCCCAGTGGCACCAAAATTTCGCGATCACGTGATCGATTTTATCGATCATTCCCAAAAATGGTAAGCAGATTTAACGAAAAAATTATTATCTATTTTTTTTTGAATAAAACTTACTACTAGACATTTTCTAATTTTAAAATTAAAATTAATTATTTACGAATTATCATATATAAAAAGTCAAATTTATATTTAAAACGTATTTTTCTCGTCTAGGTAAATTTGTAGAGCGTTCAAAAATACGCATACCATGTAAGTTTAAAAAATGTACGGCATTTATATTGTGTTTTATTCTTATTTTTTTATTTTTTCGTTAAATCTGCTTACCATTTTTGGGAATGATCGATAAAATCGATCACGTGATCGCGAAATTTTTGTCGGCGCCGCAAATGTATCGTTCTTATACGTGTACGACATACTATCTTATACGACCTATATTATGTGACATATACGTCGTATATATACTTGCCACCCATATAAATGGGATTGGGAGAATCCCATATCCCATCCCACCCATATCCCATCCCATATCCCATTTATCCCATCCCATTTGTCATAATCCCATTCCAATCCCAAATCCCATTTCCATTCCAATCCCATATCCCATATCCCATCCCATATCCCATTAATCTTATACATGTATATTGTGTAACCTTTCTCCCATTGGTCTATTTATCACGTTATGTTACACAAAATTCCAAAAAAGGAAATTTTTCTTCCCACAAAAAATGTGAGATTTGGTTTCACATGCATTCCGAAAAAGGAAATTTTTATGCCGATCATATAATTCCGGCCAGAATTACAGCTCTAGTATTACGGTCCTTTTTCAAATTAGTTTTTTGCGATTTTCTCAATATCCGGTGATCCAATTTTGATAAACTTTTTTTTAATTTGTAGCTAATATTAAGCTCTATAAAATAAAAATATTTCTTGCAAGAAATAATAAAAAAAAAAGAGCAGATTAGGTTAATTTTTGCAAAAAGCCATTATGAATTCTATAATAGATGTCTGAGGTCCTGTAATATCAATTAAATAAGAAATATTTGGAATTAATTTTTTATTGTTGCATTTGCCTTTTTATTATAAAAAAA